AGCTAAACCGGCTACAACCCTTCTCTTCTCTCAGGGTCCTACCATACCAGAAAGGTCTGCTGGATAGCGGTAAGACGAAGAACAGTCACTGTCGAAGTGTTAGTCGCTACACTATGATGTGCATCCGAGGGAGAAGTCGTACTGCTGGCTGGTTTGGGTGTGGCAGCAGCATGGTGTTTCCTTCACATGATCATCAGTGCCACGCTGATGCAGCCTTTACAACAGCAAGCTGGGGTTAAAAAAGATCGGTCCCCGAAATACCAAACTACTCCTAGTTCCACGGTGTTTCAGTGCCATCGATATGGGTTTTCTCTGTCTGGTATTAGAACAATCAGATCTATAAACAACAATCCATAAAAGTCTGTATGTAACAGGTATCAAGCAGATGATCTATAGGGTATGAGACCACACAAATATTTTTCCCGTTCAGGTAACCCAAGAAGAAATAACCTTCCACAATACGGGCAGTCAGGAAGTGTCAATAGCCAACACACTCCAAGTAGTACACAAGACTCAATCAAACATAAACCACCTTCCTAAATGTGGTAATTTCACGACACACGATTTATGCTACTACGGTAACCGTGGACAAACATCTCAAGCTTTCTAATGTCCTACACTTTTAATGGCAATATTTCGTAGCTATATAGTAAAACAGAACGAAATGCACTGCGGTACACTCAACCCTTAATAGGCAATAACACCACATGACATGATTAGAAAACCGTTAGTCAAATAAATGAGTATGATGGATTAAAGTTGATGAATTAAGTGATAGTCGAATCCAGCAAACATAACTTCATACTTTATAGTGTCTTTCACCAGTTCACTTAATGACTGCAGCCACCTGTTGTACAACGAACCCTAGTTCTTATTTTCATGGTATAGCAGAGCCGATTGGCTTTTATAAATTGTAAACCCGATTCACAAGTAGTGTCTGTTTAATTCTGTGAACACATAGTGTTATCAGTGAAATCAAGTACAGTGTTAATTTGTATTAAAATAACTTGATCGTGTGGTAATGTTTTTAGCTGCAAATAGAAGCAAGGCGTTCACAATGTTCTCAATCCAAATATACCTTCACCTGACCCAGTTTATCAGCTCAAAATATAGTGAGAACACCGTTGGTCAAATAAATGAGTATGATGGATATTCATTATTCTCCTGTCCAAAAAACTAACACAATCAATCCAACGAAATGCACTATGAACGAAGATCGAAATTATAATATTTCGATTGATACATTTGTCGAAAGATGAATATTCACTCACTTATAAATTTATGCAGCCAATCAATGTGGTATTCAAAAAAAGACAGTTAGGAGTAGTTTTTGCTGGAAACGTTATTTGATAAACAGTGTGGTATCATTGCATTCTATGTCAAATAAACAAGTATAATTTGTATTACTATAGGATTGATAACTAATGGAAGACAACAGAAACTAAAGGATAGCATACTGACTTATCAGTGATAGTTAGAGCAAAAATTGACATTTTTGTATCATGGGTAACCGAAATACGAGTTTTGAACTTCAAACTTTGATTTATACTCAAACATTATCAAATAGTAGTAAACAATTTACAGTTTTTTTTCTGACCAAATAGGAGGATTCTATCATTTGTTTACCCGGTAAAATGTGTGAGTGAAGAGTGTACGTACACAATATATATTTCCCCTCTGTGAAAAAGGTCCTAGTGTAGTGGGTGTTACCAATAAGAATGCATATAAGTAGAATATGTTGAGAGGTTGAAAGAAGTCATGGCCAATTACAAGCGATGAATAAATATTCTGCCCAGAGAAGCGCAATAGATGAAGTGGCCGCATCAGTAGCAAGACGAGACAAAAGATGAACTTAAACATATTTTGAAAATTGATATTTTGATGGAAGGTTATATTTCATCAGTAATATACACATTGTTATGATAAACGATCCTTCTGCAATATCACCCTTTGCCCCTTTTCTTCGCTAGCAGATACAGAGCAGTTTTTACTTTTTTTCAATACTTCTACAGCTCAGAGAAACATAAGAAAGTAGGAGATACTTTTTTTAGTGAACAAATTAAGTATATTAATGCATCCGCTTTCACCGTATAAGGTGTATTTTTACATATGTAATCCCGGCACAGTATATTTGAACAAATAACAAAATAAACAAATATTTTGTATTTATTTGGAAGTCTGTGGGGATTTAGTGATTTTTCAATTTCGTGTTTATCATGGACTGATAACAGCTGGAGGAATAATGGAAACCTGGAAGTACTGGACAGCTGTTTCATCCTAGTATGGGACTCCATAGCATTGGGCACCTATGACACCACCCCATCAGGGATAGAACCCAGGACCTTCAGGCTCCATGACCAGTACGTCACCATCGAGCCACTGGGTCGGGACCCAATAATCCATTTTTTCAAATTCTGTCAGTTCACGACATAGCGTGACCGTCACCCAATGTCATCGTTAAGTACTTGACCTCACGGTCACCAGGTTTGTACTATTGTGTTATCACTATTATTATTATTATGCTGTGTTATTGTATTGTATTGTATTATTCCTCAACGTTTCAATCCTGCCAGAAAGATCCTTTTCAAGAGCATCCGCTATCTTTAGTCACAGCCTAATCCACTCGATCACTTCAATTACACAGGAGAACTTTGGGATTCAAAACAGATAATTGTATACCTGATAGTTTGTATAGTAATGGTGATGACCTCCTAGCTTAGTTGGTAGAGCATGGAGCAGGAAACCCGTTAGTCGTTGGTTCGAATCTGGCCGCGGTCCAAATGTTCACTTCACCTTGAATCATCATCCAGTATAAATATGAAGAACGACAGGTTCTGTCAATTGGTCTCTTGTTAACACTGATTGTGTAAGAATAACTCGAAACGAAGAAGAAATCCAAATAATTGTAGTGATAGTAACGGCTTGTAACGAGGAGGGAATTAAGTACTCCTGTCTAGACAGTTTGTATGTGTCGATATAAGTTCACAGGATGATCATGAAAAAGAAAGCTGCATAAATTTCTTTTGGTCATAGAGATTTGGTTTACCTTGTTTACCTCTCTTCCTTCTATCGTCTTTTTTGTTAGTTGAATGCTGACTGACATCTTGCAACGACAAAAATACTACTTCAGGATCCAAATTATTTGAGTCAGCTGTTTAGTAATCAAGTGCCCTTAAAAAATAAAGAAATCTGCAACCATATTTTTTGTGCATGAAACCATTAGTCAGACAATGTTTTATGTCGGTTAAGAAAATACTACTCAGTATTAGTTTCCTAATTGTCTCTTTTTTGAATACCACATTGATTGGCTGCATAAATTTATAAGTGAGTGAATATTCATCTTTCGACAAATGTATCAATCGAAATATTATAATTTCGATCTTCGTTCATAGTGCATTTCGTTGGATTGATTGTGTTAGTTTTTTGGACAGGAGAATAATGAATATCCATCATACTCATTTATTTGACCAACGGTGTTCTCACTATATTTTGAGCTGATAAACTGGGTCAGGTGAAGGTATATTTGGATTGAGAACATTGTGAACGCCTTGCTTCTATTTGCAGCTAAAAACATTACCACACGATCAAGTTATTTTAATACAAATTAACACTGTACTTGATTTCACTGATAACACTATGTGTTCACAGAATTAAACAGACACTACTTGTGAATCGGGTTTACAATTTATAAAAGCCAATCGGCTCTGCTATACCATGAAAATAAGAACTAGGGTTCGTTGTACAACAGGTGGCTGCAGTCATTAAGTGAACTGGTGAAAGACACTATAAAGTATGAAGTTATGTTTGCTGGATTCGACTATCACTTAATTCATCAACTTTAACAACGATTTAGTTATATACCATTAGCCAGTCAGTTTGGGATTGAAACAAACCAGCACCTATGATTCTACCTGCTAACAAAACATTGAGAATGAATATTACTTTACCCAGTCTCCATCACCTCCTGTGTTATTTGTACAACATAGAAGAAAACAAAAATGATTTTCTTAACTAATGAGAAGTCTTTTGTTATCCAGCAGCTAGTGAAACATTCAATGTTTAGTCAGTCTTAAAATGGGCGGCAAAACTGTTTTCATATTTCTCTAATATTTGATACGTTTTCAAACTTAGTTTGAAAAGAATACTGTTATTTAACCACTTGTAGCTTTATAGCTCCGCATATCACTAATGAAACAACTGGACAATCGGCATCATTTTTAAGTCACGAAAAGTTGTTCAGCAGGGCTTTTGGCATTCTATTGATGAAATCCTCACTAGGCACTGGATCTTGAAATAACAGGCACACACTAAGTGTACTCCATGGCCTAATGTCATAGATGGAGAGGTTTTATCGCAGTTTCTCTGGCTAAGAAAGGCGCTCGAAAAGATATCAACTTATTGAAGGGTTCTGTACTCGAATGTCAGTGGTATTGTTAGGAAGTACAGTAAAGTATCTACGTCCAGTGGCATCCGTCAAGTGTGTCTGCTATCCCCATTATTATCCGGAGAAGATTCTCTTGCCTTATCTGATTTTACAGGGATTAATATTGTCACAGATTTTAAGTGGACGTAGAGCAGAGTACACAAACAATGAGGTTCGTTTGACAGAAGATACCAACCAGATGAATAATCTTCAGGACATCTTCAATGACAATTTGAGAATGTCTGGAATGCCTTTCCTATCACCCTGTTGCAAATTTCTGCTTCAGTACCAGTATGTGTTTATTCCCGATTTACAAATAAGTAGCAAAGCGGTTGAACATGTTGACCACTTCAATTACCCGAAAAGTTACATCAGGCCTGATGAGTAGGTGGCTGATGAAGTCTCTGCATGGAAACAAAGCATGCAGCAGCCATCGCATTTGATGCAGCTTAATAAACTCATAAATGATCACAGGTAAATTGAGAAGATGTATCTAAAACAATATTCAGAGGGTGTGTAACAGTAATACAAGTGTTATGATATGAAAGTGTTTGAATTTCAAAATATATAGAATTACCCAAAGGATCTTCAGAAGCATCATCCGTTTGATAGGAGGAAGGAAAAGGAGGTTGAAGTTTTGGTCGAATTATATCAGAATATACAGAATCTGAATAATACTGCTTTGTCAGTGTACACCAATCCACAGCGTATGACAAATACCCTACATGCATTAAAAACAATTAACATATGATGTAAAACGTATAACAGATGTGTATGTGTATGCATGTTACCAATACATGTTTTGCAAAAGGTAAGACGAATAATTCAAGTCAGTCACCATTGTTCAAATAAGAAATCTCATAGTAGGAATACATAGCTAGGATAAATCTCGTCAACTAATACCATTTGTGAGATTCCCAAGACACTGGATGGTGCAGTATTCACTATGTATAAACATACAGTGAATCTGATTCAGTTGTGCGACTGAAGCAGTAACCAATAAATAAATATCCCATGATAAGGCTTCAGGTAGTATATATATTTTTTCCCCTTCTTTGTACCTCTCTCGTTTATCGAAGCCGTAAACTGAATAACACAGAACCACGGCGTAGTATTTTCGGTAATGAAATCTAAATGGTTGTTGAAATGACGTATTTGCGGCAGTTTTATGTACACGTAACTGCTGACTAACTTGATTTTGTATGATGTCTGAAATGTGAAATGAAAGGATGACCTTAGCCAAAAAATATGACACTAATGTATCCGGTTACTAACACTTAGTTTCAACCATGCAACAAACAGTGGTGTTCCAGGTGGATTTCTATACAGTAAAAGTAAACAGTTAACAATGTCATTTGGTGCTAATCAGGATGTATCCCAAAAGTGTAAATGTCTTCATTTCCAATTTCGCTCTTAAAATGTACACTTACTTTGATGTCTATTTGTTCATACATCCAACTCTGTTTTGTTGTTTAAGTTGGTATTCATCATGGACTATTATGAGTTGGAGGAACATTGGAAACCTGGAAGCACTGGACAGTTGTTTCGTCTAAATATTGGACTCCTCGACAATGCGCACCCATAACCCCTCTAGAGATCGAATCCAAGACCTCTTTTATTGATTCGAATTGCGACAAGATTAATTGTGATGAATGAGATAGCAACTGTAGAAATTTCATTTAGCCAACAGTCATAATTTAAGTCAAAGGTTATACATCACATCTGTCATCTAAGTTTAAATGAAACTATGTGGTTATCTAAACTTCAGTGGATTAACACAGAGATTTGTATCTTTAACTTGTTTCAGCAAACATCCAGTACCTAGAAAAATATACTACAGCCCCCTCCCCCATTAATCGAAGCTTTGTTGTGCTTGGTTCCAGTCAGTCAACTAACAAGTGAATTGTAGTACAAAAGCTACGTAAAAAAGTGTAGCAAATAAGGAGTATGCTAAAAGATTCTAATCACTTTTACCACCCTTTTTATCTCAGAAGTGCACCTTCAATACTATGAATGTAAGTAGTTTGGAACAAAACGTTATGCTTAATAAAAAGGTCTCGTTATAATAAAGAGATAAGTTGGTATTGAAGAAAATATTTCCGTAACACACCACTTAACATTTGGTTTACCATATAAGCAAAAGTTAATAAGCTATACACATATATCAATGAAAAAACCAAAAATTCATACATAATAATAAGCTTTTATTTCGGTAATATTTCAAGCTTTACTTGAAAATGATCACACTTCATACTGTGTAAATATGGAGAGTAAATTCTTTTCCGTATCCCGAACGCAAACTTGACACGTACTGTACATAAGCAAATGCAAAACGATACTCAACAGTTGTCATGCGTTCATGAGAAGAGAATTATTTGAGTGTTCATTGGAATAAAAGAGGAATAGGAGAAGATAAATCAATTAGGGGGTTGATGCAGAACCCGTTGGGAATGTAAGTGTGTAAAGTTAGCTTATGTTTACTTACATTGTTAATAGTCAAAAACATAAGCATAGGATGGACTGGATGCTTACAATAACCATCAAAGCACTTACAAATGTTTCCATGTAACAACGAGATTCTTAAGTCTGAGTTACAATGCACCATTTTCTTTCTACAAATATTAAAAAATGTCTCAATGAATCATATGTCTATGCTAAGCTATATGCCATACGTGTTGTATCATAATGACCTAATACTTATCTACTCATGTGAAGTAAACCAGCAGAAGACGATCAAGCACCTATCCTACTGAGATACAATAAACATATAATAAAACAAGTTGTAGTAAAAATTGCCAAAATCGAATGACCAACCTCCACAAACACAACTGACGCTGAAGTCCATGATAAACAAGGAATAAGAGAGATAGGTTTTGGCCAAACAGTTGCACATAATCCTGCCATCTATTACATGAAGGCATATATACAGAGGAAGAATGAAACATTATTTAAACACACGCAAGTTATCACAGGCAAATAACAAAACAACATATTCATGTAAAAACGACACAACTAAAAATGATACAACTCCTACGAATCTTTCATCTCAATAAAGATGAGATGAATAAAACTGCAATATACAATACACTTCCCGATGAGTTACATCACGCATTAATAGTATAGAAAACAATATTCGGATACGATTTCTCATAAATTTTAATTTAATTTCTACACAACATGGGTATTTATAACTCATAAGCCATCTAAGTGTACGTGACTCATCAATAACTAAAACTGTTTTAAGCACCACTGACAAAGAGAAAGTGAAGGACTGCTTTCTAATAGTCACAGTCATTATCAATATGGGACCTGGAAATATTGATTAACGATCAAAGTTGCTACACCTCAAATTAGCACATCACGATGCCAGTTAATAGGATGAAAGGTAGGGAAGAAACAACATGTAGTCAAAAGTTGCCGACGATTAGGATAAATATAGTATCTGGATCTATGTGTACCCTGAGATCGGTTTTAAGACATCACGTAAAGTCAGCAATCACTGATTTCGGTTATCGTGCTTATCCCATCACAATTAGCAACTCCTCAGCAAAGTAATATCATCAATACCTTTTCGACTCGAACCCATAATCATCAGTTTCCGTGTAGAGTATAATGCCTTTAGATTAGATAAATTATTTTATATTCAATCAAATTTGCGACTCAGTGAGCAGAGATATGTCAGGAAATCGATATTCCCTCTCGCTGTCAACCACAAAAAACAAAGAACCCATAACATTTTTTTTCAAGAAATCAAATATTTCACCCGTAATGTGAATACTTAAAAATATCAAGCATTTGCTGAAACGAATTTTTGTATTCAATAACCTCGTTAAGGCTGAAGTCATTCTTAAACTCTCAACTAAGTATGAATATGATTGAACTCGAAATATTATCGCTTTACACATCAACGTTCATCACTTAAGTAATTACCATAAGCAAATCTCCGTGATATTAGAAGATCAACATTAGTGATCTCCGCGTTCTCAACCACATAAAAGTTGTACAGTATAACCAATAAGCGAACTAGACGTAACCAAATATCTGATAGGATGAAGAATGATTGTATTTTAATCTTAAGATAATGTTAAGCTGTATTTCAAGAGTTCGACAAATACAAATTAAGGTTTTGCAAAAGAGCCCAACAGTTCAAAACTCAATAATCTACAAGAGAAAATACATTCAAAATCTTGAAAATGAAGTACAGATCAGGTATGTCTCACTGATACATCGTCATTTTGTTATTTGAAAGAAGGCGTTGTTCATGTGTTGCCTAACTGTAAATTACAGCAGAAATTCAAAAACCAAGACGCACAAGACAACAGCACTACCAAACACCAATTTACGGAACACTACACGTGAAAGATTAAGTTAACAACCATTCCTTTATATCATCAACGTGTATTTATAGCTATATCCCATAGATGGTAACTAATTGTCTGGAATAATTCCATTTTAATTTACTTAATAGATGTTACACAGTGTAAGTAATATTTATCGGATAGCATTTCGAACACAATCCAGTAAATATTACTGTTTCAACTGTGGGACACATTCAATAAACAAAAAGGGAATTACAACTTATCACTGTACTCAAGCTTTACTCCTACATTATTAAAGTCAGTGAGAAGATATAACAGGTGAAAAACTTGTTAAAATTCAAAATTTTGTTTGGTTAATTCACTATTTTGACAGTCATTAAAATGACCTTGGATCTACTTGAAATCTGAATTTATTTTCTTGATACCGTCAGAACAGCGTCATAACTACAAACATCAATTCAATTTCTGTGGTCATACAGGTCATGTAAGTTGTAACACAACCTAAGCTTTCATTAATTTCCCCTTTGACTTCACCACTGAAAAGTTCACAAAAGTCTATGGTAGTCTTGCAAAGTACAGAAAAGCATGGATAAAAGTAGTCAACCGTGACTGGTATATACATGGAAACTAGTGTCAGATGATATATGCAGTCATATCCACGAAGTTTTATTTTACTTTACTACCTATACGGTAACCTGAGCTACTTTTACCATCGATCTTCACTTGGAGATGGAATTCATAGAGCAAATTAAGATTACTTGTACACACCTCGCTGCACTTGTTATGATTAAATCTCAGAGTTATAAATTTTCTCTAAACTATTTTAGAATCAGATGCTGTGTTTCGCTGCCACAGAATAATTTTTCCATTGGCTTCAACAGTGACGACGTCTTCATGATATCGTTACAGTTCTGACCAGTCTTCCTACGTACATCACTGAATATATACTGTGACTATGCATGCTTCCTGCTAGATCTACAATCGTGAGTAAATGTTCTTGATTGTCTTGTTATGCAGAACTGAATTCGTCTTTACTCCTGATACACACCAGACATTTCCGCTTATTTTAAGGGAGTTTTAAAAATCCCCATCATGTAAATTAGAACAAGACATATAAGCGAACAATATTGTTTTCAACTAGATCCCCTTCAGGCTTTACTCTAATACAAATAGCTTTATGTATATAAAATTAAACCAATCATGTAGATTTGTAGGTTAATGTGATAGATGTTTTAAACATAACGATGGTGATAATACAAATAATAAGTGATAACGTTGACTAAAGCACTAGTAATATAAATGATAATGATAATAAGAACCAAAAAAGCAGCATGAAAATGTAGACACTCCGATAATCAAAATGGGTCAAAAGCTTATGAAAATAAAAGTTCCGTAATACGGAAGGACGAGGTAAGTGGATAAACAAAGCCTAGACAAATACAGTAAGTATACGAAAGGGGTGAAGAATAAGATGAGGGGTAGGAAAAGAAACTGAATGATAAAGTTATTAACTAAGTATTCCTTGACCAAGGAAGAGATAAGGGATGTACAAATTTCTTTCGGATACATGGGCCAGGATTATTAGCTCAAATTCCCACAGCTTCTGCTATGTGTAAAAGATGAGTTTGAATACCTTTCGAAAGATGAGATGGTATGCGGTGAATAATCGTGGAAGCATTGTTCTTACCTACCGTGTGACCACTATCAACGAGGTGAGATAAAACCGAGCTCCTGATGGATTTTATCTGTCCGTTTCCCAACCATGAAGGTAGATGCTCAGCAACACGTTTGTTAAGCTGTCTAGTAGTACGCCCTATTTAGCTTTCTCCACAGGAGCAGCTAAACTTGTAAATAGGCATAGAAATGGCAAAACTAAATAGCTTATCTTTTGTCTGAGCAGCAACAATTGGTCGACCGGAAAACGAGACAGAGTTGTGGGGCGTAAAAAGTCCCCTCTTCACCCCTTTCGTATACTTACTGTATTTGTCTGGGTTTTGTTTACCCACTTATCTCGCCCTTCGGTATTACGCAACTTTTATTTTCACAAGCTTTTGACCCATTTTGATTATCGGAGTGTCTACATTCTCATGATGCTTTCTTGGTTCTCATGATGACTATCATCTATATTGCATGCGCTTTACTCAACGTTATCACTTTTATCGTTATTATTATTTGTATTATTATCACCATAGTTATTTTAATATGTATAAAGCTATTTGCATTAGAGTAAAGCCTGAAGAGGATCTAGTTGAAAACAATATTGTTTGCTTATATGTCTTGTTCTGTTTTAAGGGGAACATCTACTACTACAGTGACAGTATTTTATAAGGATGCTTGGAAGTAGTAAAAATAGCTATGTCAAAAGTGAAAACGATCGACTGATGAGTGATTCAGGCGCAAAGAATGCACAATACTGGATAGAAATATAAAGCACACGAAGTGCGAACAGAGTAGCAGACCGAGAGATTGTTTGCAAACGGGAACCACACTATAAGGTGTAGAGCTTGTCATCATCGGTTCATCATCATCATCATCATCATTATCAACATAGGACCAGGCATTACTGCGTAACGGTCCGAGTTGCCACACCTCATATCAGCACATCAAGTAAAAAGGTAGTGAGGTGAAGGATGAAGATAAGTGAATGCAGTCAAAAGAAATATAAAGTATGAGAAGAAAGGAAAGAGGAGTGACAAAATAGTGAGATTCGGTATAGCGTTGTTAAGATGAGGATAATGTGTGTATACATCTGCGCCACTGACTTCGGTTCTGAGCCATATCACCTAGGGTCTCCAACCACTGGTTCCTCTTGTCCCGTGGACCCCAACCACCTAGTCTGCATCGTCCTACATGGCTTAAACCAACAGTCAGAGACTTCATACATTGGTGCCATGTTTTAGTCTGGCCACCTCGGGCCTTTTTCCAGCCTGAACCCACCTCAGCCAACATTGTGTGACGAGGCAATCGGTGACTAGGCATACGTAGTACGTGTCCCAACCATCTCAGTCGATGAAGGTTCACAACCTCGTCGACTGACTTACCTCTTCTCCCTAAAACTCTACACCTAACTTCTGCATTACTCACATGGTGACACCACGGAATACGTCCTATACTACGAAGGCAACGGTGGTCAAATACCTGTAACCTTCTCATGTCTTCCACTTTCAATGGCCATGTTTCACAGCCATACAGTAGAACAGAGCGGACTGCTGTGCAGTACACGCGACCCTTAATAGACAAACGAATATCACGGCGGCGCCATAGGTGGCGCAAATTGGCAAAAGCCAATCGAGCCTTTTGTATCCGTGCAGAAATCTCATCGGCAACTAACCCACCGGAGTTGATCCTACTTCCCAGGTAAGTGAAGTGGTCAACACACTCAACCACTTCACTCTCTATTGTTAACCGCGGTACCGCTGAAGACCAGTCCTGGAGCAAAAATTTGCATTTGGGTGGTGAAAATCGCATCCCAAACATTCTCAAATTCCCACTCAAAGTGTTCAGAAGACTCTGCATCTTGTCAGCGTCTTCACCTAACAGGACTATGTCATCTGCATATTCTAGATCTAAGGAAAATTCACCTGT